TGACAAGAACCTCATGTGGCAGGATATTCAGGTATATACTTTCACATCCATTCAATATTATATAACTTAAATACATTTTTTATTATTTGTTGTTATTTTGATAGCAAAATTTTGACATTCCCAACACTGAGGTCATGAGGAGGAAGATGTTATCTGCCCTTGCCACCAGGTGGAGAGACTTCAAGACTTTCTTGACATGGGAGTATGTAGTTGGCCATGGAGAGCGACAAAATGAGACTCCCTGTCTAAAGTACCAAATAATAATAACCTTTTTGAAAATTGGGGTGTTACAAGGATGGTTGCGAAACATAGGATCGATTTATTATATCTACAAGAGACGAAGAAGGAGAACATTCCTGAAACACTGGTGAAGAAGCTATTAGGTAGCGGGGATTGTGAATGTGCTTGGTCACTATCAATAAACACTGCAGGTGGGGTTGCTTTGTATTTGGGATCCAAATAAGATAAACGTAAGCTCTCAGTTTTCAGGCTCGGGATACTTGGGGTTGATTGGTATAGTAAAAGAATCTGGCGATGTTGTGGTAATGGTAAATGTATATGCACCCTTTAAGGGGAGGTTAAAAAAAACCCTCTAGGATGAACTCATTTCTTGTTGGGAAAATAGTTCAAATTCATTATGGTGCATGGTAGGGGATTTTAACAGCATTAGATCACTGGAGGAAAGGGTGGTTGCGTCTAGAATGTATGTCGTTACGGATATTGCAATGTTTAATGGTTTCATAGAGCTCATGGAGATGGAGGGTGTACCACTAGCAGGAAGAAAATTCACATGGTATAGGCCTAATGGTGCAGTAAAAAGTAGAATCGATCGTGTATTGGTCTCTAAGGAATGGTCTATGAGATGGCCATGCACTAGTCAATTGGTGCTAAACCGAGGTATTTTTTATCATTGCCCAATATTGATGAGGAATGACGAGGATGATTGGGGCCCAAAACCATTCAGAATATTTAATTCATGGCTACAGAGAGTGGAGTTCAAGAAAATGGTGACCAAAGAGTGGTCTGATCTGGTGGTGCCTGGCTGGGCGACATTCAGGCTTAAAGAAAAAATTAAACACTTGAAGCACAAAATCAAGGCTTGGGTTAATGAGACATTAGTTGGGATGGGAAACACCGCACCAGGGGTGATGGATGAGTTGAATAAGCCTGATAGAATTGAGGAGTGCAGGGAGTTATCGGAGGATGAGAGGGACCGAAAGATGCAACTTCAACAATCATTTTGGGAAATTGCTATTAGAGAGGAGTCACAGTTGGCTCAAAAATCACGGTGCCGCTGGATTCAACTAGGACACTTAAATTCAAAATTCTTTCACTTAGTTGTAAATGCGAACCGCAAGAAGAGTTCATTGAATGAGCTACTTATAAATAACACTTGGATAAAAGAACCGATTAATGTAAAAGAGCATATTAAGTCATTCTTCCAGGAAAGGTTTTCAAAATAGCATGGTAAGAGGCCAGTGCTTGATGGTGTATGTTTTCAGCAACTAAACCATCAGCAGAGGCTAAATTTGTCCAGGAGATTTGATGAGGGTGAAATAAGGGTCGTAGTCACTACAAGAAAAATGTAAATTTCTAACGAAAATTTTTTACAGATATGGATCTGTCGAAAATTTCTGACGAAATTTTTTGACGGATATTTTCGTAAAATTTTTTTGACGGATTTATATTTCCGTTAGAAATTTTCCATCAGAAATTTCTGACAGAAATATAAATCCGTCAAAAATTTCTGACAGAAAATTTTGTCCAAAATTTCTGACAGAAAAATAAATCTGTCAAAAGTTTTTGACAGAAACTTTCCAACGGGATATTCTGTCAGAAATTTTCGACGGATTTATATTTCTATCAGAAATTTCTGACAAAACTATAAATCCAGTCAAGAAAGTCTTGAAGTCTCTCCACCTGGTGGCAAGGGCAGATAACATCTTCCTCCTCATGACCTCAGTGTTGGGAATGTCAAAATTTTGCTATCAAAATAACAACAAATAATAAAAAATGTATTTAAGTTATATAATATTGAATGGATGTGAAAGTATATACCTGAATATCCTGCCACATGAGGTTCTTGTCAGCTCTCCTCAACGTCATTCCATGATGGAATGATAATAGAAACATGACATCGAGCTAGGACTCCCAAATAGCTCCTAAACTTGGTAGCATTTGGGCCTGGCGCCTTGCCAAAACGAGGATCCACCTCAACCGGTGTCCTTTCCTTGGCAATGTGTCTAGCTGTCAACCTAGACAATCGGGTGACAGATCTACCTTCCCTCCTTCCACTGCCAGACCCTGAATCTTCCATAATCTTGAAAAAATTAAACTCTCATTATTAAAACAATGAATTAACTGAATAGATAAATAAAGTAAAAAAGATAATAACAATATAGCAACAAAACAACTAATAAAAAAACAAATAATACACAAACAAAAACCTATTAGGTTGGTATGTTTTCCCATATTCCTTCATCATGATCACTTCGAATAGCATGTATTTTGTCCACTTCATTGTCCGCAATAGAACCAAATGATCTACTTGAGAAAGACGATGTCTCATGCATATCTAGAGACTCATCTTCGTGAGTTCCATGTATGGTTCTTCCTTCGAGGACCACTGACCATTTCTCATTACATGGATCCCTGACATATCTCCATGAAGAAGAACAAGACCATTGGCAAAATGTTTGGAGATTCTAAATAATTCTAAATGGATTAAAATCCTTGAGAACTGAGTTTTCAAAAGCTATAAACAATCTCAAGATCTTGGATTGTCTTCCAAAGATATGGGATCCCAAAACCACAATAATCTTATAGGCATATGACTTGAAGGCTTTTACTCTTGACGAACTTCTTGGAGCTCTATGAGTTCATGAAGTTCACCTAAAAATCAGAGACCATCTTAAAGATAACTAGTTCGTTGATTTGAGAAGTGGTGAAACTAACAAGAGAAGAGATAAAGGAAAGGCTCTAATGGTTGAGTTTGAGCCTAACAACTCAAATCATAGTTTTGAGAACTCGACAGACAATGATATATCTCTCATGTCTAAAAAGTTCAAGGATATGCTAGAAAAGAAAGGAAGACTAATGAGTTTCCACAAGAAGAAGGATAGGTTCAAGAAACTTGGTCAAAACAACAATAAGAAGGTCATCTACTATGCTTGTAAATTAGATTAAAAAACGCCAACGATATTTTATTGACCTTCCTCACATGTATCCACAAATTATTCAATTTTTGCATTAATCCTTGTTAACAACCCTAAATTAAATTTTAATGTGAATCTCTTAGGTGAGAAATTATAAATTTCTTAATTAAAATCTCAAATCCTTGGTAAAGTTCATTAATCAATTTGCATTAAGATTGGAGATTTTGACATTGGCTAATAATTCTTAAACTATTTCAAATAAGCATTCTTAGTGTTCCTTTTCATATCATGATTTCAAAAGTGTTTCTCAATATCAATTAATTTTATGGGTATCATGCATTAGGTGATCAAGTCAATACAAATATTAAGAAAATGAATGAAGAGAACACTTAACTAAATAAATACATCCTCGTGAATAATATGAAAGTTTATACAAAGATTAGAGTCAGTTATGTCAATCCCCAAGTTATGAAAGAAGGTGAGGGTTCCCTTGTGAAGGTTTTGATGTTACTGTGTTTTTTAAGATTGACTGAATTTTCCCTTTCCACAAGTTATGAAACGCTCTATTTTTAGGCCTTTTACATGCCATTAGATATAGGTCTATGGAGCTATACTAAGCGACTAAAATGACTTGCTTAAACAACTTTCAAGATTTCCTCCAACGGCTCTTTGGCTGCACTCACTTAAGCAAGAGTGTGGCTAGATTCAAGGTAGCCTTACTTGAAATGTCTCTAGAGCCTTTAACTTTGTTTAAGCGAGTCTATATTATTGACTCTGGTTTGCTAAAGCGAAGCTCCCTAAAATAGTTGCTCATCATCTTCCATATTTTCTAGCTCTTCCATCTTTTTATGTTCTTCATGTGTTTAATAACACTAAAAACATCTAATAAAGAACAAAATACATATAAAATATTTTTTTCTTCTAATTTTATTGCTTATTTTAAATAAAAAAAAGATTTAGAAGCATAATTGCCTAATGTTATTAATCTCCTCGCTAGGTTGGAGGCACCTCAAAGGGTGGGATAGCTGGTCCCAAGATTTAACGCGGCTACATACACAAGACAGGATTCGAATCCCTAACCTTAGGTAAGCGTGGATCAATCCCTACCGCTGAACCACACGCTTGGAGTTGCCTAATGTTATTTAGAAATACACATGTAACAATTATGACATGCTGATGCATTTGAAAAAATGACGCGTAAGAGAATTCTTAGCTAGTGGGAAGATTTTGGTTTTGATGAGAATCATACCATGCTCATTTATCTGCTATCTTATATCTGAAATCCTAAACTATTACACCTACAAATTCTATTGTAATATGTACAACTAAAATAATTTCTTTACAATAATTCTTTAATTTTTAAAACTATATATTTAATATGAATTTATATAGTGATTCAAAATCTTTACTGAATTGATATTAGATCTAGATTTTAAAACATTATTTTTAGGTCATGATCATCCACTAATCTTCATTATCCAAGTCATACGAGAATGTTTTAATCACTATAATCATTTGGATCAAGTCTTAAGGTCGTTGGTAACCATTATGTTGATATCCTTGAGTGCCGGAAACCATTTTTGCTCAATGATCCCAAGTTATACTGACAACATACATATACATTTCGATAGCTTATTCATTAGAACTTCACAATTAAGTGTACTTGACCTGGAGTAGTACAGGGATGGGTGACCTTCTGGAAAGTTTCCCAGAAATTGCACAAGTAAGGATGAAACACGCTAAACAGTGAAATATCGTGAAATAGAACCCTTGAGAGGCCAAATATGAGAGTTGTTACATTAATAAATTTATTAAAATTAAAAAAAATTATAATTTCCGTCGCAATATCAGAAATTTCCGATGGAATTTTCTGACGGATTTTTCTGTCTAAAATTTCTGACAAATTTTTTTGACGGATAATTTCGTCAGAAATTTTTTACGGAATTGAAATTTTTCGTCAGAAATTTTTGACGGACTTCTTTTTTCGATGCCACTTTTTTCGACGGATTTCAATCCGTCGGAAAAAAGAAAATCCATCGGAAATTTACCTGTTTCCGTCAGAAATTTCTGTCAGAAATCAGCATTTTTCTTGTAGTGAGTATAGGAATGTAATAGTGATAAATGCCCAGGGCCAGACGGGATAAATTTCAAGTTCATCAAATAATTTTGGGATTTACTTAAAAATGATATTATGTCTTTTGTACAAAAATTTTATGAAAATGCAAAGCTCCCAAAAGGCACAAACTCCTCATTCATATCATTAATTCTGAAAGTTGACAATCCAATGTAGTTGAACGACTATCGACCAATATCTCTGGTGGGGTGCATGTACAAAATATTGGCCAAAACTCTTGCTAGGAGATTGAAGGTCATACTACCTTCGTTGGTGGATGAGAGACAGATAGCATTTGTGGAGGGTAGGGGGTTGCTACAAAGTGCTGTCATTTTAAATGAAACTCTTGACGAGGTGAGACGGATGAGGAAGGCTTGCATTTTTTTCAAAGTTGATTTTGAAAAGGCGTACGATTCAATGTCATGGTCATTCCTATTGTACATGCTTCAAAGACTTGGATTTGACGACCGTTGGATTAGTTGGATCAAGGAATGCTTGCGCTCATCATCCATGTCGGTACTAGTGAACGGAAGCCCAACCAAGGAGTTCAATGTCCAAAAAGGGATTAGATAAGGAGATCCCCTTGCACCGTTATTGTTTGTCCTAATAGCAGAAGGGTTGACAGGGCTAGTTAGAGAGGCAATAAAGAAGTTGTTATCAGGTGTCTTAGTGGGCTCATGTAAGGTACTAGTGGATATTCTACAATATGCTGATGACACTATATTCATTGCTGAGGATAATCTTGAGAATGTTAAAACTTTGAAAGTCATTCTTCGGTGTTTCGAATTAGCTAGTGGATTGAAAGTGAACTTTGCAAAGAGCAGTCTTGGTGGGATTGGTGTTGATAGGGAGACATTGATATCATATGCTGAACAACTACACTGCAAGCTGTCAAATATCCCATTTCAGTATTTGGGTATTCCAATAGGGGCAAATCATAGAAGATGTACTACTTGGCAACCTATTATTAGGAAGTTTTCTAAGAAGCTTTCTGCTTGGAGAGCTAGAACTCTATCCATTGCGGGAAGAGTATGTCTGATTAATGCTGTTCTTACATCTTTATCGTTGTATTTCATGTCATTTTACCGGATGCCGAGACTGGTGGTAAAACAACTCACCAAATTGTAGAGGAATTTCTTGTGGGGGGCCAAGCAAGATGAAGCAAAAATGGTGTGGGTTTCCTGGAACAAAATTAACATGTCTAAGGAGGAGGGAGGGTTGGGCATTAAAAGACTTGACTTGTTTAATGATGCACTACTTGAAAAATGGAGGTGGAAATTATTCCATGAACTGAATTCCCTATGGGGAAGAGTTTTGGTATCCAAATATGGTGTCAGGGCAACCATTAAGGAAGGCTCATTGACAAACAAAATGTCGTTATGGTGGTCAGATATAATGTTGGCATCCGGAGGGGAGAATAACAGCAATTGGTTTATGGATGCAGTTACTTGGAAAATAAGGGATGGCAAAAGAACAAGGTTTTGGTTTGACTCGTGGATAACTGATGAGCCGTTGGTAATGAGGTTTAGTAGAATTTTCTCGGTTTCAACTCAGCAACACAATTTGGTTTATAATATGGGGTATTGGAGCTCTAGGAGGTGGTAGTGGGGATTAGACTGTCGTAGGCCATGGTTTTCCTGAGAATTAGAGCATGTGGAGGAGCTAAGGGGAATTCTAGAGGTTGCACCAATGAGGGAGGACAGGACAGACCAATGGGAATGGGAACTCGATGGGGCTAGTATATTCACTATGAGATCAGCATATAAGGCACTACTAGCAAAGACAACAGGATCCCAACAAATAAGGTTTACATTTGTGGTGTGGAGGATCAAAATCCCACCAAAAGTTCAAATATTTACATGGAGGCTGTTCCTAAATGCATTACCAACAAAGGACCAACTAATGAACAGAAATGTTGCAGTACACATAGACCAACGACGCTGCCCTTTCTATAATGAGGAACCAGAAACAATCCAACTTGTCTTCTTCACTTGTACTTATGTGGATAAAGTGTGGAAAAAGTGGATACAGCTGATGGGGAGCCCGACACCTTTATGTCACAATATGCATTCTCTAATTTCTCGGCTCCCCCCTCTATAACATCTTCTAAAGTCCAAACGAAAAGATGGTGGGTACTGTGGGTTGCGATGTGCTGGTGTACATGAAAAATGAGAAACCAATGTGTATTTCAGCAAGGTGAGTTCGATGAACAAAAGCTTGGACAACAGGTAATAATGTTCTCTTGGTCGTGGTTGGCATCTCTTGATAAATCATTTTCTTATTCCTTTTCTCAGTGACAAATGAATATTGGCCTATGCATACTCGGGGTAGGAGACTTTGCATAACAGGGCTAGATGGCTGATGATTAATAGGGGTAGGCACACCAAATCTTGTATAAGGACCTTTGGTACCCTGGTACCAACATCATATATATAATTTTCTTTGCCTTTCAAAAAAAAAAACATACATCATATTATTAAATTTAATAAGTATATTACATTTAATAATTATAATATTTAATCATATTATTAAAATTAACAAATATTGAATCATGTTAATAAATGTAATAGGCTAAAAATCTATTTATTTTGTATTAACAAAGTGAGACATATATAGCTAATAGATAACCATGCCTTTTAAATTCTAAACCCTAAATATGTTATTGAAACATCTAAATTTAAATCTATGTGTATAGCAAACAAAAAAAAAACACTTGTTAAAAGATATTAAATTTTAAATAAATATTAATACTTTAAAGGATTAATTCTTAGCTCCCGATTAGAATATACGTAGGTTTTAAATTACATAGATAAAAGAAGCAAGGTAATCTAATTTCCTTGATTTCTTTCCTCGCGTACAAAAGCATAAGAGAACTCAATATTATAACTTTTTCATATTCAAATTATCAATACGATACATTAACAACTTCTATCTATTCCTTCAATTCAAACACCACAAATGCCCTTTAATTTCTCTGCAAATAAGTTTAAAAACTCGAATGAAAGTACCACTGTACCAGCCTACATGTAACTATTAAAGTCACAATTTTTCTTTTAATTATCAAATGATGTATCTGTTTTTCCAAACAAGACGAAATTTATGTTTTGTAAAATAGTATCCAATGAACATGAAATGGTAAAAGTAAAACGAGAGAGAGAATAAACGACTGCCTTTATTTTGGTTAATTAAAAGATAATGAAAAAAAGGAAAACTTCATATTTCAACAAATATAAGAATTAAACAAAGAGGTGATTCCTTGACTTATATTTTGCATATAGAATTGTAGACATGTTCATTTTTTTTTAACTAATAGATACAATCACTTTGTATACATGAGAAGTTTAATAGTGGATCCTAGAAGATTAAAAAATAAAAAGTTCGTAGTTAAAGATAATTGTTGGGGGAGGAGTTTAAAATACAAAGAGCACTTTACAATGAGTAGTAAAAAAAAACAAACAAGAAATGACGTCACATCTTAACCAAAAATATTAAGACATCATATTGATAAGTCTTTCTCACTTATTTACTATTCAACTTATTCAACTATATCTAATATAAGACTTTCATGCTTGAACTCCAATACTTCACCTCAAGTGTGACTCTCTTTGACTTGGTATGTTTTCATCAAGTGGGATTTTTTTCATCAACTAGTATTTAATAGTGGCTTATGTAACACTGTGAGTTTTATTTATGAGTTATTTTGAGCTAAGGTTTAGTTGACCAAGTTTAAGAGAAACTATATATAAGATTTTCCTTAATAATTAAATTTCATAAGTTTATTTCTTAAGAAAACTGAAGAGAAGTTAGAGAGAGAAGCTCTAGAGCCAAAATTTCTTCTTTCTTCTTCTGACTTCACTAGAGTATTCTAAGACCCTTCCCCTAAGATAGTTGAATAGCTATATAGAGATTTAGAGCCTTGAGAATTAAGAATCAGAGACTCAGAGTCATCGTGCAAAGTTTTCAAAGGATTTCGTTCTTCCTTTCTTATACCTCTTTTTTGGATGATTTCAGATGAGGGAAGCTTATAACTTGGATATTTTTTTTATGAATTCTATGAGTTGTGTACTGATTGCATTAAATTGTGTCCGAGACATTGTTGTTGATTGGTGAGAATCTTGGTTTTGAGTTTCTTGTGGATTTTGGTGAAAATGAGAAGAAATTGATGTATATGAATACTTGTTAGTTGCATGTTGTTTATCTAAATGAATGGGTTGTATAGGTGGATTATGTGAAATACAGTTGTATGTTGGTTTTGCGGGTTATTTGCATGTCTTGAGCCAAGATCATGATTTTGTTGAGTGTAGAAATCATTATCGCGTTAGACGTAATTTCATGGTGTCAGATGTGGTGTAAGTTAGAGACACTAAAACCTTTCATTTGTAGAAACTTTTGGATGTTAATAAACATAATTTTCTCTCAAAATTATCTCTTCCAAGAGCCAAAACCGTGGAGAAACTCTCTCCCTTAGGAACCTTCACAAAGGACTTTCTCTTTTGTGCCTTGGTTTCTCACTTCTTCTCCTCCTTTGAGAAGAACCGAACCACTTGAGTGGAACCATGGTTGGCTTAACTTGACCGTCCACCTTAGTTTAGGAGGCTTGTGGAGCAAGCTTCTATCTTAGATTGCTTGGGAAGCAAGCTAAGTTAGAAGCTTGTAGCACAAGCTTCCCAAGGCACAAAGGCTAAGAAGCCAATTCGGCCAAAGGAGGGAGTGGGCGGCCTTGGGCTTGTTTGCTCACTTAGTCCATTTCAAAAATTGTTGATTTGGTTTAGTTAGGTCCATCCAATGATGGTGAGACCTAGCTAAATCAAATCCTTAAAAATTAGTATCAAAACAAGTCCAATATGTAAAATTTGGCCTAGGCCCAACTCTAGCCCAATTGCTAGTCACACCCTCGTGCCTTGTTATTTGCCACCCCACTTGTAATACTGAAAAATGTAAAAATGATTGACCTTTAATACAAGGTCAAATGGAGTAAAAGTCCCCAAAGAACATACTCTAAATTCCCTATACAATGATCTATAAAAAGGAAACAAAGTGCCTCACAAATACAAAGGCAAAATAAACCTATACAAGTAACTACTAAATTTACAAACATATGAAAAGATCTTCAAAATCATCCCATTCCTCTTGGTTTCTTTAATATATCACCTCTTGGATTCCTTGGCCTTGGCATATTTCCATCATCCCCTCCCTCTTGAAAAGGATTTGACCTCAAATCTCGAGAGTCTTCATGATGGTCATCCACGCCTATAAATATATAATAACATTCGTTAGAGGTGACATTGTTAATCAATGAATGTGAAAGGTATATCCTAAGAGGAATCTTTTCATAGAACCTAATAAAGAAATTAATGATACTAGACCTTCTAAAATAATGAATAGGATCCTCTCCTAAACATAGTCTAGGTATATTACTAAACCCTAAGAAAGTGCTAAAACTAAGACTATAACATTCTAAAGACTTAATCCTAACAACTAGAACATCTTGCCTAAAGTACCCTATGTGGTAACCTAGGAATTCCCTAAAAGATAAGGAAAATACTACTAGAAAATTTACTAAGCAATTTTGTAGTATATTATTTGTTGGATAGTTATGAAAAGGAATTGTCAAAAGTAGCCTTGAAGGCTCATATGTTATATCCAACAAATAATATATTCCAGGAATTGGGTGCTTTTTTAAAACAACTAAGGTAGGAGGAGTCCTAAACAAAGGAGGGCTATCTACCTTGGGCACCACCAAGGAAGTAGCACAAGAAGTAGGACTAAGTGAAGTCCACTTCTTCTTCACTAAATCTTGAAGTTGAGATTCTTTTTCTTTAAAAAGGATTTG